TCAAGGTAATGTTATATGCAGTGTAGAGAGTTGTGTAACTTAAAAACAACAACAACAACAATAACAACAATAACAACTCCCGGCATGCCACTGGAGCCTGAGCTCACTCCATTTGCTGAATTCTCCTTCATCTTCACTCTTTTCAAAAGTGTGTTAATCTCTCATAAACATTTTGAACCTTCGTTTCCACTTAAAAGTTGCTTCCGGTCAGGCATGGTGGCTCACGCCTGTAATCCCAGCACTTTGGGAGGAGGAGGCAGGTAGATTGTGTGAGCTCAGGAGATTGAAACCAGCCTGAGCAACATGGCAAAACCACGTTTCTACTAAAAATAATAATAATTAAAAAACAGCCAGGTGTGGTGGTGCATGCCTGTAATCTCAGCTACTAGGGATGCTGAGGCACGAGAATTGTTTGAACCCAGAAGGTGGAGGTTGCAGTGAGCTGAGATCACGCCACTGTCCTGTAGCCTGGGCAAGAGCAAGATTCTGTCTCAAAAAAAAAAAAAAAAAAAAAAAAAAAAAAAAAAAAAAAAAAAAAAAAAAAAAAAAAAAAGAAAGAAAGAAAGAAAGAAAAAAAAGAAAAAAAGAAAAGAGTTGCTTCTATAGACACATATTTATTGGAAGGGGATGTATAATGGATTCACTTAAGACCCAGTCAGAGGTGCTATAAAATAATCCTTTCCATTCTCCCACCTCCACCAAATTTCAATATTCCTTCTACCCTAATATGCTTTTGGTACTTGAAATAATGACATAAACAAGGCATACGAGGTCCACTCATGGAGCTTATAAACTAGGAGAAAAAATACTTCAGAGTTATGATGTAAGAGGAGTACTATAAAATATAATAAGTTATATATTAAAATATGTACTATATACAATATAATATCTGAAATTCAGTGTCACTTGGCAGTCAGTCATTCTGAAGGAAGAGGGAATTTTACTGTGAGGGCACTGTCAAGGACTGATTATGAAAGCATGTTGTAGGTGGTTCAGGGTAAAACAATACTTCTGAGAAATGTTAAAAGGACCTAAGTCAGTCAGACGGGAAAATGTGAGTAAGGTTGAAATGTTACTTTAAAGGACATAGTGACTCACTGAAATCACAGAAACACAACAAAAATATGTTTGATTAAAGTAGAACGTTTAAGTCAAAACTATGTTACACGTTTCGATAATCAAACCATTGCTGTCAATTTACAGTAAATATTATTATGCTTATTAACATCACATTTCATATTTCTATCAGCAAAATTCATGTTATTCTGGTGACTATCTTTACTATATCATTACAAAATAACACACCTCTTTGCTAAAGAAAGAATAAGTGCCAGACACACATATCGTACAATGTTTGGAGTGGTCCCAATGGAATTTCTCAGTTTCTTTCCCTGGGTACTCATTGCATTTATGGTGTTCTTATAATTACATATTTACATTCATGCCTGCTATACAAATATGGAGTCTACACTAAGAAATCCTTAAAAACTTGGTTTTCCCCAAAACATGATTTTATATATAAAATGAGATCACATCATCATTTGAGATATAAAGTGTAAATGCAGCAATAAATAAATCCCATTACATAGGTACTCTTAATCTCAAGTAGAAAGAATAGCACCAGCACAGCCATAAGAAAGTGTATGGAAATTGAGCAGGCATGTTTCTGTAGTGCTGGCATTTTCAACTGAGACAATTCATAGAGAGAAGAAAAAATACATCAGATAGTAAACATTTGAGAAGAGGTCAGGGACCTCCTGCAGAGTTAAAGAAGAAGATGCCAAACTGGGTTTGCAACCCCAGCCTTGAGAGTCAACTCCCATGCTCCCTGTCCTTCCCACTCCCCGCAATGTAAGAAGAAAACTAGGGGGAGAAAAAAATCCACTGAAGAAACTAGTAAGTCTTCCTTCCAGAAGAAAGTGCAGTGATGCTTCCCTCCCAGTAAGTGAAGGTAAGTCCAAGAGGTGAACAGAACCCATGAATTTTTTGGCACAAGAGATGAGAGATTTGATATTTGCATCTCAATGTGGACTTCTGTTTATCCACAGGAATTCATCTTCTATGTCTCTTTAAAATGAGGAAAAAGAAAACTGGAGAAAGAGATCAGCTGCAAAGTAATGCAGTTTCCTACATGTTAGCTAAGTGAGAAATGTAGAACATTTCTCTTGGTCAAGTGGGTATTGCATAACGTTAGTGGGTGACATTCACACTTACAAGAAATCCTGCTGAAGTAAAGGGTGAGGAAGTGTCTAAAGAGCTCAAGCTAAGCAGCACCCCATGAAGAATATTTTATGCCCAAAAAGCCTTCTAGTGTGCTTTCAGTCCAGTCACACATGCCCAAGGGGCAGGTGCTTAGATGCCTGTGCCACAGAAGGCAGGTGACAGCAACAGCCCAATGAGTTCCACAGCACCAGAAACATAAGAGCTATTTGATCTCTTTCACCTTCCCAAGACATGATGTAATTCTTGTCACCATTAAGCTCCCCAGGTTGAGGTCTGTCTTTCATGGAGATTAGAGACAATGTGAAGGCAAAATTAAACATTATTATAAGTTTTAAACTGCATGGCTGAACTGTTTATTCTGGAAGGCAGCTAGGCTCACCACTATACCACCAATAATGAACTGTTTTTTTCCTAATACTTGAAGATGATAATGTATCTACAGTGTCAGCCAAATATACTATTTAATAACTGAAAGGAAGAATCAAAAAGAAGGCTTAAATTAGTAGTCAAACTTAAAATTCATGTTTATACTACACTGAGTTGAAATCATACAATGGTTTGATTACATAGTATAACCTGATTTTTTTTTTTTTTTTTTTAAGACAGAGTCTTGCTCTGCTGCCCAGGCTGGAGTGCGGTGGCGCGATCTTGGCTCACTGCAAGCTCCGCCTCCCGGGTTCACGCCATTCTTCTGCCTCAGCCTCCCGAGTAGCTGGGACTACAGGCTCCCGCCACCACGCCCGGCTAATTTTTCTATTTTCAGTAGAGACCGGGTTTCACTGTGTTAGCCAGGATGGTCTCAATCTCCTGACCTTGGGATCCGCCCGCCTCGGCCTCCCAAAAGTGCTGGGATTACAGGCGTGACCCACCGCGCACCGGGTCAACTGTAACTTGATTTTAAGGTACTCATTCACATACCTATGCAAGATGAATCAACAATGGAAACAGTAAAAAAGTATTAAGGCAGTCATTTCCCTCAAATCAAAGTGAGAAATCCCTAGCCACAAGACTTTTGAGTATTTTATTCTCATTGGCAAGCTTTAAACTGTCCCAGTCTGAAGCCATTAAACATTCTATTCACACAACTTCCCTAGTTCAGATTCTAGACTCACCAAACAAGTTTCTGACTCTCATTTCATATCTTCATAATGTACCAACAGATAAAGTATGTACTTACATAGACTCTGAATGTTCTAATTTCTGTGATAGTTATTTCTCATTGTAAAGTAACCAATGTGCTTTGTTATTATATTTCAGTTTTATAAACATAGTGATCTGCATGTGACAGATGGATACATGAGATACAATGTCAGGATTTTTACCTTGATCAACTTGGCCATACCAAGGGCACTATAAATTCTCCATAGTGCTGCACCTTTGCAAGAAGTCCGGAGGGAGCCTATTAACCTTTTCCTGGGTTTGGCAGGGATAGAGTGGGGCAGCACTGTTGTGCTGTGTTCAATTTCTATAATATTCAGACTTAATATTAATTTTCTGCACACTTGTGCTTGAGCACAAACACTGAGTTTTATGCAGTTTAAGAAATAATGTATTTTTTCTTTCTATTTTTCACCTACCACCCTCCTTTTTATCTCTTTAATAAAATAAAACAAAACAAAATTTAAAGTAGCACAATATTCCTGCATCCAGGTTAATATATTTTTTTAAAAAACTATAGTCCTTCGTCTCACTCATTGTTTTGGGGCACTGTCTTTATAAATCTCTCCTAAACCACACAACGCACACACATAATATAATCCAAGTATTTCATAATTAAAAGAAATAATGTGAGTTCATCAGCTTGAGGACATTATTTGAAGTGTATGGTACATGACAGATGACTGATTAATGTTTCTGATACTTCTATCAAAAACCCATAGTTACTCTCAGTGAAAACTGATAAAGCAGGGTCAACACAGAGGATACCAGGATGATTTCATTTGCTTTCTCTCTATGTTCACTAGAATTGGTTCCCTCTTTCCTTCTCAGGAAGGCTCTTGCTTTTTACTGAACCCTCACACCATATGTGTTAGGGTCAAGGTAGGATCCTCATAGAACAGACCTATGGAGCATTATCTCATGATAATGAATGAGATAATGAATTTTCTCACTATTTTATGCTACTCTTTCGGAACACTCAATATGGTTCTGTGTCTTAAAAAACAGAGGCAAAAACTAGTAATTTCTTATTATTTCCTGCTTTCGTTTTGTCTCTTCCTAATGAGAAAACAAACTACATTTTCATAAGATGATGACATTTTATGTAAGTGAAAAGAAGCTCTGTGAATTAATTTTTAATAGAAATATAAAAGTGAAAAATATAAAAATACAAAAAGTAAACAATATATGAAATTCCACAGATTTTTATAGATGGCTTCATAAGTATAGAAAGCACCTACATTTTGCAGTATCATTTTCACACCTATTTTTGAGAGCAATATTAATAAATGAAACATGAGCATACATTTCATAAAATCCAGCCATCATATCTAGTATGTGAGCAATTGCCTTTCCACCAACGAGCTTTTTTAAAATGACTTTTTCCTCCAGAATTGAACTCTGCTGATTCTACTAAGCTCTTTCATTTTTACTGAACATGGAAACTATTCACTCTGTATTAGAGTTATTATCAAGAAGAATGGCGCACAGGAAATATCTTCCTAACACCACTTTATTAAAAGAAAAGAAAATGTTGGAGGAAATCGAAAAAGCTAATCATACAGGTATACTGAAGATCAGCTTGAAGTAATCAACACATTTTGAAATTGCTGACTCACTTTGAACTCCATGGGAGCGTACAATTTTCCAGATTTCTGACGCTACTTCTTTGACATCCACTTGATAGTGATGAATAGGCACACCTCCATGGGAGTCCGGTTTGTTGAAAGAAACCTTGGCTGTGGTCTGTGACAGCTCTATGATCTTCACTCCATAGGGACTGGATGGCACATCTATGGACAAACAAATAGAAAGAAAACATAACCAAGGGAATGGGAATGGCCGTTATTAAGGCTTATGGTGTTATGAGAACTAGGAGTGAAGGAAAATTGCTACCTGCATCACTTAATATGTCTGAGTTACAGAATTTCCATAAACACCTGAATATTCTTTTGAAATTACAAGAAAGTATGCCCGAGTCAATTTTTATTACCACAGAAAATACACAGTAAAATGAAAATCACACTTCAATTATTGAGAGAATATGTTACTTCTGCATTTTCTATACAATATAAACATTTTATTGAGGTCCAGGAAAATGATCTTGTGTGTGTTTAAAAGAAAAAAATAAGAGAGATAAAGAGGCTAGTTAAAATGTTAGAATACATAAATCAGTTATTCAACCATCACCATAAATAATGAATGGTACCTTGTGAAAATACAAAATGTATTTTCTTTGCATTCACCACAATTATATTATTAAATTATAGGTAAGTGCTAAGTTTCGAGAAAAATGTCAGTATTATGAACTAAATAAGACTATAAACTATTAGGTCTAATTTCATTTATATATTATCCAATTAAATTAAACCTTTGGTTGAGATATTAAAATCTTATTCCCATATTTTCAAAATAGCTATAAAATCCTTCTTGTTTTATTTTAATCTATCCACTACTTACATTATTTCAAGTTCCATAAGGTATCTTAGGTGGACATTTAATTTTGTGTGTAATATAAAAAATTATTTCAGAAGAATTATCTCAAAGGCAGAGCAGGCAGAATTAGAAGAAAAAAATTCCAATGAGGATACAGTTGAAAACTCTACTCCATAAACATCAAGATTTAGAGACACATTAACGTTAATTTCTCTATGAACCTCTTCCTCTTTTATTCCTATCACATCTGAAATAATCTTAAACTTAGGAAAAAAAACAAATATAAGTTTTTTCAGAGAGGGAATATATATATATATATAAAAAATATATATGTAAAACATACAAATATATGTATATCATATGATTTGGCTCTGTGTCCCCACACAAATCTCACCTTGAATTTTTTTTTTTAATTTTATTTTTATTTTGAGACAGAGTCTTGCTCCGTGGTCAGGCTGGAGTGCAGTGGTGCAATCTTGACTCACTGCAACCTCAGCCTCCCCAGGTTCACACCATTCTCCTGCCTCAGCCTCCCGAGTAGTTGGGACTACAGGTGCGCACCACCACGCCGGGCTACTTTTTCTATTTTTAGTAGGGACGGGGTTTCACCATGTTGGCCAGGATGGTCTCGATCTTTTAACGTCGTGATCCACCCGCCTCGGCCTCCCAAAGTGCTGGGATTGCAGGTGTGAGCCACCGCGCCCGGCCTCATCTTGAATTTTAATTCCCATAATCCCCATGTGTTAAGGGTGGAACCAGGTGGAGGTAACTGAATCATGGGGGCGGTTTCTCCATGCTGCTCTCATGATAATGAATGAGTCTCACGAGATCTGATGGTTTTATAAACGGTCTGGCATTTCTGGGTTTTATAAAGGTCTGGCATTTCCCCTGCTGGCACTCACTCTGTCCTGCTGCCCCGTGAAGAAGGTGCCTGCTTCTCCTTTGCCTTTCACCATAATTGTAAGTTTCCTGAGGCCTCCCCAGGAAAGCAGAACTGTGAGTCAATTAAATTCCTGTCCTTTATAAACTATACATATATATACACACACACACACATATATATACACACACATATATATATAAAACTTGACTGATAAATATGCAGTACCTGTGAGTTTCAATTCTTATATCAGTCAAACATTTACATAAAAATCTGCAGTTGGGGCCAGGTATGATGGCTTACACCTGTAATCTCAGCACTTTGGAAGCCGAGGTGGGCACATTACTTGAGGTCAGGAGTTTGAGACCAGCCTGTTCAACATAGTGAAACCCTCTTTTCACAAAAATACAAAAATTAGCTGGGCATGGTGGAGTGTGCCTGTGATCCCAGCTGTTTGGGAGGCTGAGGCAGGAGAATCACTTGAACCCAGGAGGCGGAAGTTGCAGTGAGCTGAGATCACGCCACTGCAAATCCAGCCTGGGCAACAGAGAGAGACTCTATCTCAAAAATAAATAAATACAAATAAAAATAAAAACAAAAATGTCATATGGCATTCAAAAGTCAAATGTACTTTATTTGCTAGAGTTAAAAAAGGTCACTGTAGGTCACATAAAAATATGCCTTATAAATAATACTGGGCAAAAGCCAGGAGAACAGCTTTAAGGCCTTTTATATGTGAATACTGTAAAGAAATGCCACAGTGTATATTTCAATTCTAATGAGTAACTGTAAATTATTTAGAGAGCCTATGAAGTACATTATGTTACAACTCTAAGGTTCAAAAACACATGTGTAGAATTCTGATGCATCCAAAAGTCTTAGAACTATTAAAATCACATCTGGAAATACAAATTTTAAGATATCTAAATAATGTTTTTAGTCCTTCAAATATTCTAATAATTTTCATGTTTCCTTAATCTCCAGGTTAATCTGCATGTCTTTTCAGCTGTAGGTTTGATCCAAAATTTACTTGTAAGTTTGATCCAAAGTACAGGAGAAAGGCAAACGAATGCACACGGATCCCCTTAAAAAATGCCAATTCTTCAATCTGTGCTGAGAGGCTGACTCCCTAATGTACATTAGGTCTAAGTTGGATGTCATAGGCATTACACTCCAGTTTGGGGATATGTGTCAAAAGTGAAGGCAGTATATTCTGGGGAATGAGAGGGAGATATTATCCTCTTGGGCTTCCATCTTTGAATATATAGTATAAACATGATTGTTTTTACTCTGACTGCAGAAGTTGCACCGTTCACCAACTGTGCACCCTGACATGGTGCACCTGCAGAGAAAGAAGATACTTTTTTTTTCTTTCAGCGCAAAGCCACTATAATCAAAACATGGGCCAGTGACTTGTCTCTTCTAACTATACAGTCCATTTTCAGATCTGCTGACACTTACTGTAGCCTTTCATTCATATGATTTTCCACTGACCTCTTATTTCTATTATTTCTTCTAAAGCAAAAGTATGCTTATGACTTTCATTCTCTTTCTAAACATTTTTTACATTTTGGTTTTGTAAGTCCAACTGTCAACTGACTACTAAATTTTAAGTTTCTTGAGGAAAGAGAAAACATTTTAAAAACACACATTCACACACATCCATTTATACATATAGATACATGTAACATAGAACAAAATGACTGGAATATACTAAGTTCTCAGGAAATACTTGATGAATTAAATATTTCAGTAGTGAAAAATAATATACAAAGATACAGAACATGTCTAAGTGAATAGTGTCAGATGTGCCTAGAATCAACATCTCTAATTCTTCTCTTCACTTTCTGGATTGTTCTGTAATTGCCTTCACCCTTGATTCTTATCTATCATATACATCACAATCAGTCAAACACTATTTTAATAATTCCTGCATTATAATTCTTGTATCTATTTCTTCCTTCCCATTTCCTCTGTTACCTCCCAAGCCCTGGCCCTATCTGACTTTTCCTGTAATGCCATTAGTGGCTCTTGGCTTCCTTTTCTACTGGATGTCCAATAAAAACATCAATGCATGAGGCATGCAAATGCAAAATCAATCTTTGTAAAGAACCACTCTGATCATATCACTTTCCTGGGAATGGTATTCAGGAGCTTCATTTTCATTACAACATTAGTCTCGGTCTTTTCAGTCTCATGCTCAGGATCCTGGCTTATCTAATGCACTGGGTGTATGCAAAGATATGGATCTATTCTAAAAGACTTTCAGACACAGCTCAATATTTCAACTGAGGCTCATCGGATGCTCAGTTTCACACACTGTTATCCCTTCATTGTTACCATATTTTTCTAAACTATTTCCTAGCATCTTATATCCCAAAAATTGATGAATACCATTCACCACTCAATGAATGAATAAATGAATAGAAAACCAATTGTGCAAATACTTATTTGTTTAGTTACCCTTTCTCTTCATCTCTAATGGTGCTGGTAAACTGTTGGATTAAAAGACTGGATATGTATGTCCTGGGAGTCTATGGATTCAAGGCCCGGCCTTGCCACTTTCGTCAACTATAGCCTTGGACAAGTCACTTAATCTTTTCACATTGCAGTAGTTTTCCCTCTTGAATGGAGATAAGAATAGTACTGCTGCTAGTGTTGTTGGAAATATCAAGTAATGTTGAGCACTTAGACCCTAGAATACATTAAAATTCTTAGCAAATGTCAGTCATTGTACGTTTTCTATCCCTCCCTGATCATCAGCCTCCTTCTATTACATACTTTTGTATCCACTGACATGTATCAATGTTTTAGTCAAATGATAGGTAATGGGTACAACACCAATGTTCAGCTCAGAAGTTTTTGAGCTGTGTAATGGCAAGGAGTTGGTGCCATGACCTAGGAGTCAGATGGATACAATCTCTGGTGTCACTGAATGAAACTTGTGTATATTAAACTCCCAGAAGTTCTTCATCTTGCATAACTGAAACTTTTTAATCTTTGTCCAACACCTTCCCATTTCTCCCACTCCCCAGCCCCTGGCAACTACCATTTTTCTCTCTGTTTCTATTAGTTCTACTGTTTTAGAATTCCACATATAAGTGAGATCATGCTGTACATCTTTATATCTTGGCTATCTTGGCTACAGTGAGTAATGCTTCAATGTAATCAATGTCTTGGAGAGCTATCACCTCTTGATTAACTGATAATGGAAGTCTATCTTCTCATTTTCCAAGACTAAACCCTCCATCTGTGAATGACATGTCTTTTCCTTTTGTCTTCTCCATTTTTTATCAGATAGCTCTTCTTTTATCAGATAGCTCTTCTCTTCCTTTTTCTTCTTCTTTGGAATTTTATTCTTTCTTCTCAGTGTTATTACTATGAATTATAAAGATCTCTTTTTTTTTTTCAATCCCACCCTCTTCTCAGGAAACATACTCTTCCTTTGTTCCTCGTTGCTGTGTTTCAATAGATTAT